TTACTAAAATACAAAAACCTAGCTGGGCGTGGTGGTGCGTGCTTGTAATCCCAGCCACTCAGGAGGCTGAGGCAGGGGAATTGCTTGAACCCAGGAGGCAGAGGTTGCAGTGAGGCGAGATCACGCCACTCCACTCCAGCCTGGGCCACAGAGTGAGACTCCGTCTTTAAAAAAAAGAAAAAAGGAAACAACTGAGGATGCTTCCAACTAGCAGATTCCAAGAAGATGCAATAATGCCTGATCCCAAATCGATTCTTTCATCAATCTGAGCTGAAGCCCTGTGTAATATCAGGACACTGTGCAGGTTCTTCAAGAGGTATAAAGATAAATAAAAATGGTTCTGTCTGGACTTTATTGCACAGTGAGAGTCATATGAGCTATCTATAAATAACAATAAAAGGTAGAATCACTTTGTGGGAAGTTAGACCCACAAATAAGACTTCTGTGATGGTTAATACTGAGTGTCAACTTGATCGTATTGAAGGATGCTAAGTATTGGTCCTGGGTGTGTCTGTGAGGGTGTTGCCAAAGGAGATGAACATTTGAGTCAGTGGGCTGGGAAGGCAGACCCTTCATCTGGTGGGCTCCAACAAATCAGCTGCCAGCGCAGCTAGAATATAAAATAAAGCAGGCAGAAAACATGAAAAAACTAGACTGGCCTAGCCTCCCAGCCTACATCTTTCTCCTGTGCTGGACCCTTCCTGCCCTTGAATATCAGACTCCAATTCTTCAGTTTTAGGACTCAAACTGGCTCTCCTTGCTCCTCAGCCTGCAGACAGGCTATTGTGGGACCTCGTGATTTTTTTAATACATACATATGTATATATAATGTTATACATATATGTAATATATAATATGTAATATATATAATATACAATCGGATATATAAGTATATACATATACATATTATATAATATATATAATATTATATATATTATTAGTTCTGTCCCCCTAGGGAACGCTGACTAATAAACTTCCAAGGAGGGAGATCACTTCTGAGCAAATTATGAGGAATGGCAGCAAGAAGAAGGTGGCTTCTGAGCAGAGCCTTGTGAGAGATCAAATTTCACATACTATGGGGAGCAAGTATTCCTCCATAAACAGATAGCATAGGGAAGGGGCTAGTTTAAAACCCAGATGAAGGAATTATCTTCAGCATAAATTGCTCCCCCACCAAAAGGACAAAGTGTCCGACTCACCATCCTAGTGACTTGACTGGATGTTCTCCTTTCATTCCACAATCCACCCTCATTCCTCTCCACCGTGTTCTGTGGCCCCAGAGGCTGGCCTTATGGACTGTATCAACTAGGCCACCTTGTTCCTGGTGTGAGTTGGGTTCAGCTAAGATGCACAGGCAGGAGATGACAGAGTGAGAGAAAGGAGAGTTGGAGGTATGATTCCTCCAAACTCCTCCTTGCCACACTGCAGGTGGGCAGAAGCCATGTTCCTCTAGCAAAAGCCATGGCTTTCCCTCATCAGCCCTTCCCTAAACTAGTGACATGGGAGTTGGGCAGGGAAGCGCTGGGTAGAGAAGAGCCAGATCCCTGGTGAAGGCTTCACCCTCAAGCCTATGCCGCGGACCTAAGTGAGAACAGGCACTCCTGTTTTCATGTCCAAATGTTGCATTTTCCAAGACTGCTCTGGCCCACCAGGCCCCCCATCCTGTGCCCATATAAACCCAAGACCTTAGTGGGTACACACACAAGCAGCTGAAGGTCAAGACCAGCAGACCAGCGACAGCAGAATGATGCGGCAGAGCAAAAAAAAGAAGGACATCAGGAAGCTGAGGGAAGGTCGGCCAGGGGTGGTTGGAGAAGGGTTGGCTGCTGGGCAGCCCAATTCCAGGGAAGATTATTTTCCCCACCCCTCCACCTGCTGACTCCCCATCCATCTCGCTGAGCACCACCTCCGCCACTCAATAAAACCTTGCACTCATCTTTCGAGCCCACATGTGATCCAAGTCTCCTGGGACACTGGGCCAGAGCTCAGGATACAGAGGCTGTCACACTGGCCCTCTGCTCTTGCAATAAGGCGGAGGGTCCATTGACTAGCTGATTAGCTGACTAGCACACAAGCTATCTGCAGATGGCAAATCTGAAAGAGCTTGATTACATGTGCCCACCTGGGCTTTAGGAGTTGCAGACACCCACCCCTGGATACTGCCACCAGGCCGAGAGCCTTTTATCTGGGCCTTTGCACCCGCCAGTTTGGATGCTCCCTCTAAAGATTTGAGCTGCAGGGCAACCAAGCAGGTGAGCCACGCCCATTTGCATGTCCTGCCAGGAGAATCCGGGAACTCTTCTGCTTCACTAGCTTTCCGTGCCTGTTCCCTCTGTGTCCACCACGTTGGGATAGCAGCCTTGCAGCACTGCCAGCCCTGGGGGCTCCATCGTGATGCCTGGTTTCCTTGCACGGTCAATGCCTCTATAGAAAAGGTCCTTGATTAAATTATCCCCAGTCAGCCCTTCTGAATATTCTACCTGATTCCTGCCTGGACCATGACTGACAAAGACCTTTGTAGTCAACTGAAGTTAGCCAGTGATTTTTTTAAAAATTTCCTTAGGGGCTGGGCGAGGTGGCTCAAGCCTGTAATCCCAGCACTTTGGGAGGCCGAGGCGGGTGGATCATGAGGTCAAGAGATCGAGACCATCCTGGTCAACATGGTGAAACCCCGTCTCTACTAAAACTACAAAAAATTAGCTGGGCATGGTGGCGCATGCCTGTAATCCCAGCTACTCAGGAGGCTGAGGCAGGAGAATTGCCTGAACCCAGGAAGCGGAGATTGTGGTGAGCCGAGATCGCGCCATTGCACTCCAACCTGGGCAACATGAGTAAAACTCCGTCTCAAAAAAAAAAAAAAAATTTCCATTGCTGTTTTCTTCTTTATTGGTTCTAAGTATCTTATTTCCTCATCTTCTAAGCATGGTATTAATAATAAACTTCCCATCAGATCTATAAGATTTAACTCTTTCATCTCCACCTTGAAGAGCTAGATGTTTCTTTCATAACGCTGGAACTATACAAATGACAAAAGAAAGTAAGAGCAGATAAATTGGACTTTATCAAAATTAAAACCTTTTGTGCTACAAAATGTATCAGCAAGAAAGTGAAAAGCAACCTGCAGAATGGGAGAAAATACTTGCAAATCATATCTGCTAAGGGACTTATATCCAAAATATAGAATTCTTACAACTCAATAATAATCCAGTGTTTTTAATGGGCAAAGGAAATGAGTAGATATGTCTCCAGAAACGATTACAAATGGTCCCTGTGTACATGAAGAGATATGCAACATCATTAGCTAGTTGAGATATGCAAATCAAAGACAGAATTAAAACCACTTCATCCCCAGTAGGATGGCTATAACTAAAAAGGCAAGTAATAACAAGTGTTGGCTGGTGAGGATGTGGAGAAATTGACACACTCATGCATTGCCAGTGGGAGTACAGGATGATGCCAGCCACTTTGACGCTTCCTCAAAATATTAAACATAGAGTTACTAGATCTCTTCTCCTTTATTTTTAGTTGGCACATAATATTTATGTACACAGAATGATATTTCCATACATGTATACAATGTATAGTGATCAAATCAGGGTAATCAGCATACCGTCACCTAAAATGTTTATCGTTTCTTTGTGTCATTAACATTCAAAATACTCTCTTCTAGTTTTTTGAGAATACACTATAAATTACGGTTAACCATCTTCACCCTACTATGCTGCAAAATCCCAGAACTCATTTCTCCTATCTAGCTGTCATTTTGTATGCATTTACCAGCTCTCCCCACAGCCTCCTCCTCACCATTCTTCCCAGACCCTGAGACCCACTCTTCTACTCTCTATTTCTATACACTCAAATTTTCTTTTTAGCTTCCACATAACAGGAAAACATGTGATATTTATCTTTCTGTGCCTGACTGATTTCACTTAACATAATGACCCAGCAATTCCACTTCTAGGTACATACTCAAGAGAGTGAATATATATGTCCGCACAAAAACTCTGTACACAAATATATTCATAGCAGCATTATTCATAATACTTAAAAAAACAGAAACAACCCAAATGTCCACCAAATGATGAATCACTAATTTGTGGCCTGCCCATATGATGGACTATTACTATGCAGTTGAAAGGAATGAGGTACTGATTCATGCTACAACATAGTCGGACTTTGAAAACGTCATGCTAAGTGAAAGAATTCAGTCACAAAATACTACACGTATTATTCTATTTATATGAATGTCCAGACTGGCAAATCCATAGAAATAGAACGTAGATTAGTGGTTGCCTACGGAGACTTGGGGAATAATGGGGAGCGGCCACTAATGGGTACAGGGTTCCTATGGGGGATGATGAGAAAGTTCTAAAATTGACTGTGGTGATGGTTTCACAATTCCTTAAATATACTGAAAACCACTGTAAACCTTGAATTAGTGCACTATATGTGAGTGAAAGCTCAATAAAGATAATAAAAAATTAAAATAATGTGTTTTAAAATTTTGGAACCAACTAATTCTAAAAGCAAATGTTGCCAAAATTTCCGAAATATGTTTGTCTATAATCTTTAGGCCATTTCATGTGTCTGACAGCTACTTAGTAGCCTCAAAATAAATGTGAGAACAAATTAGTAGCTTATCAATCACCATCTTTCCACCTTTGAACCCACATTTGTTTGCTTTTTCTTTTCTTTTTTTTTTTTTTGAGAGGGAGTTTCGCTCTTGTTGCCCAGGCTGGAGTGCAATGGTTACACATGACCACCTGGGCTTTGGGAGTTGTGATCTCACCTCACCACAACCTCCGCCTCCTGGGTTCAATCAATTCTCATGCTTCAGCCTCCCGAGTAGCTGGGATTGCAGGGGCCCACCACTCCCTGCTAATTTTGTATTTTTAGTAAAGACAGGGGGGTTCTCCATGTTAATCAGGCTGGTCTCAAACTCCCAACCTCAGGTGATCCACCTGGCTCTGCCTCCCAAAGTGCTGGGATGACAGGCGTGAGCCAAAAACATGAGGAGGGGAATGGAATTTATTGCTCCTCTATCAGCTCCCACCAAATCTGGAGCCCATGGCATTTTCTTTCTCAAGGTCCCACGATGCCCAGAGAACAGTTAGAATCAGGCCAGGCACCGGGATGGGCTTGTCCTCAGATCCAGTCGGCTCCTTGTCTTCCAATTACCTAGCTCTGCTAACTCTCTCTTACAAGCCTGGGAGGAGAGTGACTAGTTCCCACCTAAACATAAGGCCTGAAGGGTCTTAGCACCTACAAGTTTAAGGAAACCCAAAGGATGCTCTGAAACTTCCATGAAAAGGAAGACTTGGAGGGATTGTTGCATTCTTGCATGCCTGGCTATTCATATTCTCTGAATATCCAACATGAAACTGATCTGATCATATGCTTTTTGGCAAAAGTGGTTTATGTTAGGCTAAAAGAAAACACCCCTTACCAAGATGCTCTGAAAGCAGGTTCTCCATTATATTAATGACAACTAGTGTTATTAAGAGAACATAAGGCAACTTTAACAAAAGAAGAGCTCACTAAAGAGGATCCTGTATGGAAATTGTTCATGCAAATGCAATTTTAGAGCTGGCATTATACTTGCAGAGGGGTTCTCTACAGGAAGCTATGGCTTCAGTCTTTCGTGCTCCTGGACAACCACTCAGCACGTAAAGCTCCATGAAATCAGTGCCTCAAACCACAGTATCTCTAAAGAAACTCCTAACTTAAAAAGTATTCCATCAATGGTAAGGATTTTTAAACTTTAGCTTAAATATTTTAAATACCGTTAGTAGTAATAAAGCAATGAGATGTCTCTAAAATTATTGTTGCCTGTATCACTTTAAATCTTTGACATAAATGAAAACTTGCATGGAAAATGCTAAAGTTCTAAGCAAATCAAATAGGTTGAGCATTAATAAACAGGAAGATGAAGTAGGTGAAATTGATTTTGGGAGGAACTGGTAGAGATAGTGATTTGTTTAAATACTGTTTAATTTTTTTATCCATTTATTTATTTGGAGACCGGGTGATGCGACTGACTAATGTTTGTATTTTCGGTAGAGAAGGGGTTTCGCCATGTTGCCCAGACTGGTCTCAAACTCCTGGGCTCAAGCAATCCAGCCACGTTGGCCTCCCAAAGTGCTGGAATTACAGGCATGAGCCACCAGGCCAGGCTGAGATCGTGTTTTAAACTGTGCTATTGATGGTCTAGGGAAAAGGTAAATCAGCCCGCGATAACAGAAGTCCTTGTAATCCACAAGTAGGTATGCAGGCAAGAAGTAAGAAAGCTCCAGAATTCTGTGGAGGCCACAAGGATTTCCAGAACTGGCAGCAGTTAAGAATTTGACAGAATTGAAGAGTCACACCTCTGAATTTGTGTCAATTCTGAAATCTCTTCTTCCAAGAAGAAAGAGAAATAGCTGGAGTTATGGAAATGACGGTTGATGAAAACTCGGTAATCTGAAGTCTGAACATTTAACACTAGCAGACAGGCTGAGAATTCTCTTTGATCATGAGCCCAGGTTCCATGTGCACCCACAGGAATCTGTACAGCATTTGTGCACTGGTGTGGGGCCCAGGAGAGGACCACAGAGTGACAAGGCACCAGGCTCTGAAGGGAGAGGAAGATCCCCAGGGGACCTGGATAGCGATATTTCCCTGACCATTGTCTGCTGTGTGTTCCCAGTGATGAGATTCTAGAGTTTACACCTGAACCACACTGTCATTTAGGATGTTATTTATAATATCTGGCATGTCTAAGTAAAACACGCATTCAGTGAAACATGCCGTGCAACTTATCTCATTGTGTGGATTTCATTCTTCTCAGTTAATTATTTTATGGTTTTTTCCTTTTTTTTTTTTTTTTTTAGACCAAGTTTCACTCTTGTCATCCAGGCTGGAGTGCAATGGTGCAATCTCTGCTCTCTGCAACCTCTGCCTCCTGGGTTCAAGCAATTCTCCTGCCTCAGCCTCCCAAGTAACTCGGATTACAGGCGCCCACCACCATGCCCAGTTAATTTTTGTATTTTTAGCGGAGACAGCGTTTCACCATGTTGGTCAGGCTAGTCTCCAACTCCTGACCTCAGGTGATTCGCCCGCCTCAGCCTCCCAAAGTACTGGGATTACAGGCATGAGCCACCGTGCCTGGCCTTTTATGTTTTTTTAATGTCCCAGTTTAAATAAATGAAAATCATACGTTGGGCAAAGAGGCATGCCTGACAGGATGATCAGCATTTACAACGAAGCTTGAGCACTTCAGGAAAGTACTGGCTGCTCGATTTTGCTGTGAACCTGCAAAGCTGCTCTCAGAAACAAAGTCTGCTTTAAAAGGCGGGGTCGAGAACTGGGCTTTGTAAGATTGGTACAATTTGCAAAGCCTGAAGGAAGGAGAGAAGATTATTTAACAAATAAGGTAAGGTGGACTCCAATCTCTTCGAACCTGGAGAGAGAGGACCTGATGAGACCAGAAGGGCTGGCACGGGGAGGGGCAGAGGGGAAAGTTAAAAGAGCCAAGATTATGCTACCGCACTCCGGCCTGGGTGACAGAGTGACATCCTCACATCCATCTCAAATAATAACAAGTAAATACATAGAATTATCACATGACCTAGCAGTTCCACTTGTAGATATATACTCGAAAGAATTGAAAGCAGGAATTCAAACAAATACTTGTATGTGCGTGTTCCTAGCAGCATTATTCACTACAGCCAGATGGTGGAAACAACCCAAATGTCCATCAACTGATGAATGATGAACAAAATGTGGCATATCCATATGATGGAATATTATTTGGTCATGAAAAGGAATGAAGTAGTGTATATGACCCAGTGCACATGAAACTCGAAAACACTATGCTAAGTGAAAGAAGCCTGTCACAAAAGGTCACACATTGTATGATTCCAGTTATATAAAATACACAGAGTAAGTAAATTCACAGAGACAGAACACAGATGGGTGGTTGCCAGGGGCTGAAGGGAGGGAGGAAGGAATAGGGAGCTACTGCTTAATGGGAACAGGGTTTCCTTTTCTGATGAAAATGTTTGGGACTAGACAGAGGTAGTGGCTGCACAACACTGTGACTGTGCCACATGCCACTGATTTGTTCACTTACAAACGGTTAACTCTGTGTTATATGACTATCACCTCAGTAAAAAATAAATTTGTTTTTTGTTTTGTTTTGAGAGAGAATCCCACTCTATCACCCAGGCTGGAGTGCAGTGGCATGATCTCAGCTCACTGCAGTCTCCCCCTCCCAGGTTCAAGTGATTCTCCTGCCTCAGCCTCCTGAGTAGCTGAGATTACAGATGCAAGCCACCACACCCAGCTATTTTTTGTGTTTTTAGTAGAGACGGGATTTAATCACGTTGGCCAGGCTGGTCTAGAACTCCTGATCTCAGGTGATCTGCAGCCTCAGTCTTCCAAAATGCTGGGATTACTTGTGTGAACCACCATGACTGGCCTAATAAATTAGTTTTTAAAAAAGTAATGGCTGGGCATGTTGGCTTGCACCTGTAGTCCTAGCTACTCGGGAGGTTGAGACAGAAGGATCACTTGAGCCCAGGAGTTTGAGCCTCAACAACATAGTAAAACTCTGTTTCATAAAATTTTTTTTTAAATTTAATATTTTTAAAAAAGTAAATGAAAGTGGGCCAGGCATGGTAGCTCATGCCTGTAATCCCAGCACTTTGGGAGGCCGAGGCAGGCGGATCATGAGGTCAAGAGATCAAGACCATCCTGGCCAACATGAGGAAACCCCATCTCTTCTAAAAATACAAAAATTAGCTGGGCATGGTGGCATGCACCTGTAATCCGAGCTACTCGGGAGGCTGAGGTAGAATTGCTTGAACCCGGAAGGCGGAGTTTGCAGTGAGACAAGATTGCGCCACTGCACTCCAGCCTAGTGCCTGGCAACAGAGCAAGACTCTGTCTGGAAAAAAAAAAAAAGTAAATGAAAGTGGAAGGGATGAGGAAGCAGCAAGAAAGGGCACAGATCACCCTCGCAAGAGCAGTCCGCATGTCAGCAGGTACAGGGTGGGAGCCGGAAAAACTAGCTGGCCTTACATCAGTCCAGGGCACTCTTTAAAAAGAGTTCACTGAAAATAGAGCACAATGAGATTAAATCAAAAGTCAGGGTACTGTTCCTGAAGCTTACTCACAATCCCATCACACTAAGAACTACTGTATCTTCATTTTTATTTCAATGATGTGTTTTTTTGTTTGGTTTTTGTTTTTGTTTTTTGAGACATCATTTCACTCTTGTCGCCTAGGCTGGAGTGCACTGACGTGATCTCGGCTCACTGTAACCTCTGCCTCCCAGGTTCAAGTGATTCATGATTCTCCAGCCTCAGCCTCCCAGGTAGCTGCAATTACAGGTGCATGCTACCACGCCCAGCTAAGTTTTGTATTTTTAGTAAAGATGGGGTTTCACAGTGCTGGCCAGGCTAGTCTTGAACTCCTGACCTCAGGTAGTCCAGCTGCCTCAGCCTCCCAAAGTGCTGGGATTACAGGTGTGGGCCACTGCACCCGGCCCAGTGTGGTTTTGATAAGGCATTTCTTGGAAAACACTGACTTAAAACAGACCCTTTCCCTGATGCTCCCTCTACTCATACAAGCACCTTGATTTGACAGAATGATCTCCTCTTTTAGTTTCTTCTTGTTGAACTGGGCACATGACCAGCTTGAAAAGAGAATCGCTTCACTGCAGCTGGGACTGTCAGGGACCTTCCCCCTTGAGGCACTGCTGTTAGCCAGATGAGAGAGCACGTGTGGAAGGACGTCCTGGCAGGAGTGATGACCTGCACTGTCCCCGCCTGGCCCACACTGTCCCTTCCTGAGACACACCATTCCTTCCTGGCCCGCATTGTCCCAACCAGGACCCAGATTCACCAAGTCAGGCTGCCTGCTGGCCTCTACCTGTGCCTCCTCCCGCTGCGTCCACTTCTTCACATGGTTGGTACTCTTCTTTCTAATTCGGCCCCTTTGAACTGAACTGTGGGGTGCTCCATTGACTTGGGCTTGGGGCCCTTTCCCGTCAATACCATTCTGAGAAGCCTCCTATACCTGGCTTTTGATCCCAGATAACTTAGATGTCACATAGGTTTCTTCAGCATCACCCAGAAATCATTTGGAAACTGTCATATTGAGTGTACAGGAGGGGACATCCTGCCAGTTTCAGATGCAGTTTGGCCACTTCTTTATTCTGTGATAATATTGTATTCGTCAGCAAGGGTTGCCTGGCAAGGTACCACAGACCGAGGTTGGGGGAGGGGCTTAACCAACAGACGTACATATCCTCACAGCTCCGAGGGATAGGAATCAGAGACCAAGGCATGTGCAGAGCCTTCGGAGGCCCTTCGGCTTGTAGAGAGCCATTCTCTCTGCAGCCTCATGTGCACATGCCTCTTTGCGTGTCTGTGTCCTAATCCCTTCTTCGTATGAACAGACAGTCACACTGGATTAGGGTCTACTCCTGTGACCTCATGTTAACTTAATTACCTTTTTAAAGGCCCTATCTCCAAATACAGTCGCATTTTGAGGTACTAGGGATCAGGACTTCAGTATATGAATTCTGGGGAGACAATTCAGCTGATAATAATTGTATTTGTCTGTTTTCACACTGCTCTAAAGAAATCCCCGAGACTGGGTGATTTATAAAAGAAAGAGGTTTAATTGTCTGGGCGTGGTGACTCACTCCTGTAATCCCAGCACTTTGGAAAGCAGAGGCGGGCAGATCGCCCGAATTCAGGAGTACAAAAGCAGCCTGGCCAACGTGGTGAAACCTGGTCTCTACTAAAAATACAAAAATTAGCTGGGTGTGGTAGTGGGCATCTGTAATCTCAGCTACTCGGGAGACTGAGACAGGGAGAATTGCTTGAACCCGGAAGGCAGAGGTTTCAGTGAGCCAAGATTGTGCCATTGCACTCCAGCCTGGGCAACAGAGTGAGACTCCATCTCAAGAAAAAAAAGAGGTTTAATTGACGCACAGTTCTGCATGATTGGGAGGCCTCAGGAAACTTACAGTCAAGGCGGAAGGGGAAGCAGACACCTTCTTCACAAGGCCACAGGCAAGAGAGAACATACGAGAATGAGGTTGTGCCATACTTTAAAACCATCAGCTCTCAGGAGAACTCACTATCATGAAAACAGCATGAGGGAACCGCCCCCATGATCCAATGACCTCCCTCCCTTGACACATGGGAATTACAGGTCCCTCCCTCAACATGTGAGGATTACAATTAGAGGTGAGATTTGGGTGGGGACACGGAGCCAAACCAAATCAACGGTGATAACATTGTGTAATAACAACAACAACAACAACTTCCAGAGATAGCTGTGTTGC